AACTAAGTAGGGCTTGGCCCGGCCAAGGCAAGGACCAGTCTAGTTCAATTAATCCTGACATTCGTTTTTATTTTTTTATTTTTTATTTTTTATATTTTATTTGTCTTGGTCTGATAGGCCCGGCCCATTGCCAGCCTCTTTAAGAGGGAAATAATCTTTTTTCTCTTTTAACCTCCTCCATGAGGCAAAACAACTTGTTTTCCTTCTTTCTTAACATTGTTATTACGGGCCATCAGTGTTTTAAAACCCACTAGATTGGATCGGGATTAGGAATTACCGATTTTGATAAAAAATCGATAAGTGCCAAACCAGTTCAGAAATATATCGATATCGGCTCAATTCCATCCCTCTAGAACCCACTATTTATATATTTTTTCATTGTATTTAAGCTTATCTAATGTTTTTTTAACCTCTAAAAAACCCAAATTCTCTTCTTCTTTTTTAATTATTTTTTAGTACCCTGATTGAAAATCCAACAATCCAATACATTAATGTGGGGAACCTATCCACCCAAAAAAAAAAAAGGAATTCGCCCTATCTCACCAATTGGTGCAACTTGTGAGAGTTGTACTCTACGCATCGTGCTCCTTCATTTACCTTAGGGCGGTGCTACTTCCTCTCTCGCTCTTACTTTTGTACTCTTTCTCCTCTTTCTCTCTCTACATGTGCTCAAAGTCAAGCTAAAAGATACTATATTTTAATCATAATATATATTTATTTACTCCTTTGAGTAAAATCTCACCTAATACTAATTTTAAGATCTTAAATTTTGAGAATGTTATCTCTTCAACCCATAAATTAACTTCAATTGAAAAAATTCCTAATTGTACTAGCTATATACTTGAAAAAAATAATATTTTGAGATTGAATAGGGAGAGTTCAATTTTAAGATAAGGAGATTTGAGTATAAAAAAAAATCTTTTTTTTTTTGGGAGTAATTATTTAGTAATTTTTAAGTGGTTCTCAAATTTTAAGATTAAAAAAATTATCTTAAGACTTTTTTGTCTGAGGGAGTAGAAGTAAACTATACTCCCTAAATAAGATAATTTACGTCCTCCTCCTTCGAAGGCTCCATGATTTTTTCTTCCAATATACATAATTGCATTGTAATTGGTTCTTTTTACCAACTCGATGTTGTGGAGTATGTGGATCTAGAACTTCATTGCAACCAATTGAAACTTCTCAAACAATTACTTTTTAGGAAGGGAAATATTCGAGGGAGAACAATAGATGCCAAAAAGATTAAAGGACCTTTGAGTACTATTTTTGCATCCCCCTAACCAATACCAACTAGATTGGGAGTACTCATTAAGGGGTAAATCAATTCCGATAGATTCACCTTTAGAAACAAGAAGTCCTTTTCCTCAGGGTCTCTCCACTTGATAAACAATATGCATGGCATTCTTTTTGTGAGAAAAAAAAAAGGAAAAAAATTAAAATGGGCCTAGTCCCCATAGCAAAAAGAAGTAAAGCCCCAATTTAAATCTCATCGATAACTATAGTTTTGACATTTGAAAACCTTCAAATTGATTTAGTTTGACCTTGACTTTGACCATTATGAATGTAGAAAAAAAAAAGAATTTCAAGTTTTAGAAATAATGTATATTATAATACATTATCTAGATTGTCCATTTCCAAGTGTTTATAAATTTGCGAGATCTGTACTGCTTTTTAAGCTACAGATTTCAATATTGGTGGCAGAAATAGATTTTAGAGCTATCTTAGGGGTTTTCTATGACCGAAATAGTTTCTAGACGAGATTTTGAGTTCAAACCTTCATAGAAACTATATATA